GCTCAGGGGCACTGGGAAAGGGGACGGGGTGGGACAGGGTGAGGGGACTAGGGGAGGGGTCTTGGGAGAGGGGACGGGGATCAGTATCCCTGGGGAGAGAGTGGAGTCGGGGGGTTAGGGGAGGGACCCGGGCGGGAGGGGGAGGCCACAGGAGGGCAGCCAGCGGCGTGGAGTCTGGGGAGCTGGGGGAGGAGCCCCAAGAGGGGGACGGAGCCCAAGGACGCGTGAGAGAGCGGGGGTGGGGACGGGTTGTTTAGATCCCGCCGAAGGGGACCCAGGGGAAAAGAAGCGGGGCGGGGACAGGGATCGGGTTCCAAGACTGAGGGAAAGGGGACTAGAGACACGGGAGAAAGTCGGGTGATCCCGAGGGGAGGAGAAAGGCCTAAATCAGAGGCTTAGGGGACAGGGGGACTCGGGGAGATAGACGGGACATGTGGGGGGAAGGGCAGTCAAGGGGAGGGTGATGAGGCTAGAAGTGAGAGCCTGGGGTCTGGGAAGAGTCCTCAGAGAACTGGGAGGAAGAAAGGAAACCCGGGGCAGCAGAGATGGAGGGTCGGGGCACCCTAGGGGGGAAAGGATTAGGGTCGAAGGCGGGCAGGGGTGACCGGACTGGAGGAAAGGGCAGAGAAGGAGTGTGCTCCAGAGATAGAGCCAGGAGGACGACTGAGGCCCTGGGCCAGACCCCCGCATCTAGACAGTGGCCTCAGGGAGCGTGCTGGACGTGTGGATCCCCAGGCCTCTGCCCACACCGGCTGAATCAGAAGCTCTGAAGGAGGGCCCCGGGAATTTGCGTTTGTCACAAACTCCCTTTGGAGGACGAGTGTTTAGACAATATTTGTATTTGGGAACCATTCATCTGGACTGCCCTCTGTTGTAAACACCTAAATACTCTGCTTTGTTTCCTGATCCCGGAGAGGTGGCCCCTCCGAAGTGGATGGAGAGAGAAGCCCATAAATGCCTTTCAGCACCTCAATCCCAACGGCTGGTAAATTCCTCCTGAGATCTAACCCAATCGCCCAGATATGCCAATTTGGCCTCTTTCCTGCTGAGAGAAACAGAGACAACCAGGGGCCAACCCCCTGTGCCCTCCACAGTCAGAAAGACAAACAGACCAGAAGGAAAAAACATGACAGAAGGGACCCCAAGACCCCTCTAGAACCACCCCCCCAAACACACACACACACACACACACACATACTGGTCAGCACAGGGCTCTGGTGGTAGCAGCTTGTCCTCGTCTTCTTTGTTAAATAGAGATGACATTGTCAGCCAGCCTTTCACCCCGACCCCCTGAACCTGGGGAGGGAGGGGCTGGAAGTCAGGGAAGGGCCCCAGCACCACCTCCCAGGACTCCACAGCAGCCTCTGCCAGACTCCCCAAGGTTGAGGTGGAGGAAGGGAGAGCTCACCCGGCGGGCCAGCTGTGACACGGGATTGAAGGTCTCTTCCGTGGGTTCTGCCCTCTCAGACTCCACTAAGGCTGGGTTCTCCTTCTGTGACACAAGACCCCCACCTGGCATGAGAGAGGCCCCCAGGAAGTGGGACCTCCCTCCCCCACTGCTAGCCTGGTACACACAGACAAGGTACCCCAACCCCACAGAACTAAACACACACCTATACACTTCACACCTCCGCAAGGGCACATGGGAATGCACACAGGTAGACCTCTACACAAAGCTTCCAGTCACATACACATACTTGTATAGTCAATCCCTGCAGACACCCTCGAGCACACATACCTGCCCGCCCACAGACACATACATACACACCCAAAAATGTGTGGACAAGGGCACACACGCTGATGTAGACACACATGTACATGAGCATGCCTACATGCTACATGGCTACAGCTCTGTACCTGTACATAGATGTAGATGCTGTGAGGACCTATACAAGGTCACCCAGTTATACCATTCATATCTGTGCATTCACACAACTGCAGACACCTGCACAGAGGCCCACCCGCAGCACACAAAACTTCCTCACCCATCCACAGACACCCGTACACACACACCATACAAACATAACATTAGCCTGCAAATGCCTGCCCAGAGGCATGCAGGCATAGACTCCTGCCCAAAACGTATGCACCTGAAAATACCTAGACCCAGTTCATACCCGCACATACACCTTCCCTGCACAGAGGCCCACCCGCAGCACACAAAACTTCCTCACCCATCCACAGACATCCATACACACACACCATACAAACATAACGTTAGCCTGCAAATGCCTGCCCAGAGGCATGCAGGCATAGACCCCTGCCCAAAACGTATGCACCTGAAAATACCTAGACCCAGTTCATACCCGCACATACACCTTCACTGGGGATTCCACACACACGCCAACACCAGCACCCACCCCCCACACACCACACACACATATATACACAAGCCTAGTCTTGGACACCAATCTGTCTAGACATACACTTTGTCACATACACACCCCCACACAGGACTAGTTCCTGCCCCTGCCACATCTATTTTTGTGACTGCCACTCATCACAACCTCTAGACATAAGACTATTCCCAGTTTCAGAGCCTTTTCTGAATTTTTTTTTATGGTAGAACAAAGCATGGCTTTGATTTGATGCTGCTACAGTGACCTTAAAATCCAAGTGCCACTCCCTCTACCTCCAGTAACACAGGGCCCACTGCCTCTGAAGGCACAGGGCTCCATCGCACTTCTGCTCAGCTCTGCCTATAAGAAAATTGTGTCAAGCCGAGTGTACCCCGTGTGGCTACAGCTCACTGCTCCTAGAAGAATCTCTCCCATGTGGCTGCTCCTCCCATGGCCCCCATGTCTTTTCTTCCTCAGTTATCTTGAATGTCCTGGCTCTGACACAGCACCATGCTGTTTGCCATCCCTGAATGTGCCAATGGCTTCTGTACAATGTGCTTCTCTCTCTCAGAGCTCATCACTTGCCCACTTTGTACCTCTCACTCCTGCTGCCCTCTGCCCAGCCCCACCCAGCAAGCATACCCACCTTCTCTGCCAGGTCCTCCTCAGATTCCCCACTCAGGGTCTGTAGCACTTTGGACTTGTAGGTTTTCCAGAAGGCCTGGTTCATGGCAGCAGGGGAAAGGGGCCTGGCACCCAGGCACAGGAAGGCACTGGCTCAGTGGGCACCAATGGGTCTGGCTCCAGAAACTCAGTGAGCCCAAGAGCCTGTCCCAGGGATCAGGTGACTTTATTAAAGATGCACCAACCTCCCCAGCTGGCACAGTGCCCAGCAGGTGAACCTGACCCAAAGGAGTCTGGGGTGGGGGCAGGATAGGGCAGGCTTCTGCTGCCTCAGCCCCTTGTCTTGACCCAAATTGGCCAAGAATGATGAAGACATCTCTCTCCACAGAGGCCTCTTTCCAGGGTCTATGAGTACGTGAGATTGTCAATCTCGGAATAGCTCCAGAAAAATCTTCCACTCACAAAGACCTTGGGTCTAGGACCCACACAGGTGCCCCCTGTGACTGTCTCATACCAGCTGTGCCCTCAGCAGGGCTCCACCCTGTGTCCCACCTCAGCCTCCGTGAACTGGAGTGGGAAGGTCCCCAGGCCCCCAGTGGGCACCATGGGCTTACATTTCACTTGCTTTGTCTGGGCTGGAAACTGATTCCTCTCCCCAGGGATGCACATGCCTGTCTCCTAGTTTCCTGGCAACAGATTCCAAAGCGCCAGAACCCCTGAATTATTGCTGAGCTCCTCTAGCCTCATCCAGCGGAATTGGCTCTGGCCAGCACGGAAGGCACCAGGCTCTAGTGAATGGGAAAAAGCCCTCTGGCCCTCTCCCCACTCTGAGCACACAACACCTAGCCTTTGCTGCCAGCCCACCTCTTCTCGTGAGAGGAGCTGATCCCCCTTCAGTCTGACGGGAGCCCTGAGTACTGTGATCTCTGGGGAGGAACACCCCTCCCTCAAGGATTTGGCTGTGGGTGGATGGAGGATGGAAACCCAAGGGAATACCTGGGAAGCCGTGAGAAATGGTGAGAGCTTTGTCAGAGACTGAAGGTATCTCGGGAAGTCCTGTTGAGCCAGGATCCCAAAATTATTCACTCTCATTCATTTATTAATTTATTCACGTCATCAGTGCCTTCCAGAGATGCTTAAAGCACCCCACCCCCACCGCGGAGTCTAAGGTCTGGGGAGCAGGAAAGGTGATGGGGCAGGGGACGGGGCTGAGGTAGGCTGGGCCAGGCCGGGGCGGGCGGGGCAGCAGGACCCGCCCGAAGCCTCCCAGGCACACGCGGCGACGGCCAGCCCTTGGGCGGCCACTTTGTTGGGCCCCGCCCCGAGCTCCGGCACTGACGTCGACGGCCGCTGGGGGCGCTCAAGGCGCCGGCCGTGTGAGTGACGTCATCAGAGGCGGTCTGGCCGCGCCTGCTCCGTCCCCGGGCGCCGTATGACGTCATCGAGCTGTCCGGAACCGCCGACACGTGTGCTTCCTACTGTGCTCCCGGCCCCTTTCTCCGGCTGTCAGGGGTGATGGGTCGCTCCCGCCGGACAGGCGCGCACCGAGCGCACTCCCTAGGCCGCCAGATGAAGGCCAAGCGGCGACGGCCGGACCTGGATGAGATTCACCGCGAGCTGCGGCCGCAGGGTTCCGCCCGGCTCCAGCCCGACCCCGACGCCGAGCCCGACCCTGACTTGCCAGGGGGCGGCCTGCATCGTTGTCTGGCCTGCGCGTGAGTCCCGGCCGAGACTGGCCTGGGGCGGAGGAGGGTCTGCGAGACAGGCCGGGAGATAGGAGGTGGGGACTCCGGGACACACGGGGTCTCCTCTCTTGGGACCCGTGGGGTCTACCCGCCTCCCATCCTTCCAGGCCTGGAGCCTGGCATCAGGGAGATAGGCATACCTGAGAGGCATCACCTCCACACTCTCCTCCTCAACCCCCATCCTTACAGGAGGTACTTCATCGATTCCGCCAACCTGAAAACCCACTTCCGATCCAAAGACCACAAGAAAAGGTATGAAGGAGTAAGGAGGATTGATGGATGGGTGCTGGGCAGGCAGCGCTTGTACCTGGTCAGCTCCCAACTCCTATTCTTCTTTCTCCCAGGCTGAAGCAGCTGAGCGTCGAGCCCTACAGTCAGGAAGAGGCGGAGAGGGCAGCGGGTATGGGCTCCTATGTGCCCCCCAAGCGGCTGGCAGTGCCCACAGAAGTGTCCACTGAGGTCCCTGAGATGGACACATCTACCTGACATGGTCTGAAGATACCAGGCAGAGTAGCTGCCCATGGACAGAGATGCAAGGGCTAGAGAGTGTGCCAAACTCTTTTTGCCCTGGGCTTGGGGGGCGGATGGCCTCTTCTTGGTACCTTCCCCCCAATAAAGGAACTGGACAGAGGGCTTGTCTCTGACTCTCTAACTTCCAGGCTACTGCCCCAAACCACCACCCTGGAAAGGTTTCTCTACTATTTTCTGTGTACAGGGCCCAGGGTGTCTACTCCCCAAGTCATCCAGCTTTGGAACCTGCATCCCTTCCTTTCTTCTGGGGTCCTAGAGATGGAGCCCAAATGCAATGTGGAGTGAGGGAGTAGGATCAGGTTTCTTCTGCCCTGCTTCCAATGAGGGCAGGGACCGATCCCCAGAAAAGAAATGGGCTCCTGAGATTACAGCCCTCTCCCTTGAGTTACCTACCCCAGGGCCCAGGTGAGAGGCTTCCCACTTCGTCATGAGGCCTGTGGTGGCTGCCGCTGCCCCACCATCTTCCAGACAGCATAGCAGGAGCCACCGAGACCGAGGACAGCCAGCAGTGTAGCCACAACCCCACCCAGCGGACTCCGGGGCTCTGCCTTCAGCTCCCCGGCTACCTGCATCTGAGGATGCACAAAGGGTGCACTTGAAGCATCAACTGAGACTTCTGAGAAGGTGGGGGGTGGGACGGGGCTGAGAAGGTGCATTGAGTGAAGGAGATGTGGACTCCATTGTGCCCCAGGGAGATTCCACCCCGATCCCTCTCGCTTCACTGCCCATCTGGGCCCCAGCTGCTCAGGTGGCAGGGAACGTGACAGCTTAGTTGGTGGTGGTGTCCACCCAGCTATGGTAAGGGGAAAAAGGGGCCAGCGGTGCCAGAAACCAGAAGTTAGGGGTCCTTACCTGTAACACCCGAAAATAGCCAGGCGTCAGGCGTCGAAATCGCATGGTGTGGGGCACTGGTCTCCCTGGCAGCCTGTGGGGTGGGAGCAGAGATGAAGACCAGTGGTGTTCATGGTACCAAGAAGTGGAAATCAGGGTATAGAAGTTCCTGACCTCATATATGGATGAGACCCATGCCCTCAGCGGATGCTCACCCGTGCCTGCCCGCCCAGGTCTGGCAGGGGGCGGGGAAGCTGGATCATTAAATCTGGTCCCTTCCCCCTCGGCCTATATCCTGCCAGCCTTAGAAGCAGCTGTCAGGAGAGATCAGCATCAGGCCTGAGCAGCACCTCCCCCACCCATTGGAGAGGCCAGGCCGAGTAGGTAGGAGAGGCTTTGGCTGGCAGCAGTTAGGAGTCCCAGGTCTGCACCAGGTACTGGGGGGCCTCCCTCAGCTCTGGTCCATCCCTATCCCTACATCAGATGACTGGATGGCACCAATCAGCAATCAGCAAAGGAGGGAAGAGTGCTTTATTAGCCTCCCTCCCAACAGTAGTACACCTTTTCCATTTGGTTTCCATAAGATCAACCACCCCTACCTTGAGGGAAGGCACATTTCACCCCTTTTCCCAAGACAGAGTTCCTACAGGGACTTCCCTACCCTCATCTTGGGGACAATAATAAAAGATTTGCACATACCAGTTATGAAAGCTGTACATGATATGTTAAAATATAGTAGCTGATTGTGCTACTGTTCTAAGCACTTTACAAGTATTATTTTTGTTTGTTTGTGGTTTTAGCAGCTGGCCAGTATGAGGATCCAAACCCCTGACCTTGGTGTTATAACACTGTGCTCTGACTGACTGAGCTATCCAGCCAGCCCCAACATGTATTATTTAATTTGCTATTGATTATCTCATAAAATGGGAAAAAAAATGAAAAGAAGTGCAATTTGCAGGATGGTATGTAGAATATCTGCATATAGAGAGAAAGGAAGAATACCCAGAAAACTTAGAAGTGGCCCCACAGGGGAGCAGGAGAGTGACATGCTGGACCCAATCCTAGGGCAGTGAGGGGTATAAATGAGTGGTGCTGAGTTCAGGGAGGGCAGGGGCTGGCGGGTTCTCATCTCTGTATCTGGTGCCAGCTCAGGGTAGGTACTTGATGAAATCAGGATGGTGGGGACAGACCCGTGTCTACCAAACACTGTGATAAAGTCTCTATTAACATTTATTGGACTTCCCCAGAGTGCCATGGGGAGGCTGTCGTACAAAGAGACAAAAATGTTAAAGGAGGATGCAGCACAGGTTGCTCGAGGGACACAGTACAGGGTTGAGGACACAAGGCAAAGGACAAAAACAGAGAGGTGAAGGAGTGTTGCAAATTTGGAGCCTACTAGTTCACAAATGAAGGAGGCAAGGCCTGCAGGGACCTGGACGGCTGGAGTCTGTCCCCCTTGAAGGAAGCAACTGCTGATCTACTGTTGCTACTTAATGCCAAATGTGAAGGTAGGATGGGGTCGCCAGAGCTGGCCAAGTCCCAGAGAAGCTGGAGATCTCAATTTGTATGTAAAATTATTAAATTATGATTAACACGCATGCACTACATGGCCATCCATGGGCCACATTCAGACTTTTGTTTTGTTTTTGGTGGCTAACTAGTAAGGGCATCTGAACCCTTGACCTTGGTGTTATCAGCCAAATTCAGACTTTGGGTATCTGGGTACAGGTAGGATCATGATAGGCTTTGAAGGCCAGGTATTGGGACACTGGTAGAGATTCCAAAGTAGGTGACACAGTTGGAGGGGCAGATTCTGGGATGGCCCCCCAGGCCCCTCCCCACAGAATTAAAGCCGTAATAACTCAGATCTACTCCATGTTAAAGATTTCGAAGTACTTAAAGGATGTCCCCACAGCTCTAAGGTCTAGGTATCCCCCTTTTAGAGAGGAAGAAACAGGTTCAGAGAGGGGTAGAGGTTGTGCTCAGTCGCACAACAATTGAGTGTGGAACTGATTCTGTCTGATTCCAGAGTCCTAGGAGTTCCCTGGCCTGAGGTGATGAGGATGGACACTCAGTGTCAGTTTTCTAGGAAAGGCACTTAACCTGGGGTTCAGAATCCAAGGGATCCATAAACTTGGATAGGAAAAAAATTATGTCTTTTTTCCACTAATTTCTAGCCAAAATCTATCATTTCCCTCTACGTGGATTGAAGTAGTAGCAGTATCTTTGGCTTTATTACCAATAGAAATCACAGATATTTTGATATCAAATTGTGGTTATTTCAAGTATGTTGAAACATTTGTGCTCATAACTCAACATGGTGGGAGTTATTAAGCCACCGCTACATCGGCCTGATGCCACTCTTCCTGTTTCACACACTGCTGTGATGAAGATGCCATTGCTTGAATTGTGGTTATTTCAAGTATGTCGAAACATTTGTGCTCATAACTCAACATGGTGGGAGTTATTAAGACACCGGTACATCGGCCTGATGCCACTCTTCCTGTTTCACACACTGCTGTGATGAAGATGCCATTGCTTGGGCACCTCCATGCCTATAGTGGCCCAGTGGCCAGATGGTGTCTGCCTGTTGCACTCCAGTGACCTGGGCTTCTCCGTCACTCTTCTGCACTCTCCGTCTTTAGTTGTTTGCTGATCGTATGTGAGAGGAAGTGAGTCAAAGACCATCTCAGTCTAATGTTCTCATTCAGGCTGAACGACAATACACTGATACCATTAAAAAAGGAAAATGTAACATTAATTTGCTAGTCTTGTTATTGAATGTTAATAAACACATATTCCTACGTCATACGTTTATGTTTTTAAATATATTTTGATAATTGTTCTCTTTGTGATCCTCAGCATTTTATTTTATGCCTTTACTTATTTATTTTTATTTATTTATTTATTTGTTTGTTTGTTTGTTTTAAAAATGACTGGTAAGGGGATCTTAACCCTTGGGCTTGGTGTTGTCAGCACCACACTCACCCAGTGAGCTAACCAGCCATCCCTATATAGGATCCGAACCCGTGGCCTTGGTGTTGTCAGCACCACACTCACCCAGTGAGCTAACCGGCCATCCCTATATAGGATCCGAACCCGTGGCCTTGGTGTTATCAGCACCACACTCTCCCGAGTGAGCCACGGGCCGGTCCTTATTTTATGCTTTTAAAAGCGTTTTTCTGAGAAAGGGTCCAAGGCCTCACCAGACTGTCAAAGGGTCCACGGTACAAAATAAAAGAGGGGGGCTAAAAATCCCAGTTCTAAAAATTTTAGAGCTGTTCACTCAGATACTCTGCACAGCCGCCCTCTGAAGAAGTGACTATTTTACCCGTTTTACAGACCAGGATACCGAAGCACAGAGGTCGGGGTCAGCCCCCGGTCACAGAGCACCCAGGGGTGCTTTGCTACTGCGCTCACCGCTCACCTGGTGGCTCCTTTTTGCGGAGCGGGAGGATCAAGGTCCCACCCCGCGATGAGGCCCATTTGGGGAGGGTTCTCAGGCTGGCTCTGAGGTCGCGGGAGTCACACACCAGTGGTACCCACCCCCTGGCTGGGCGCCCAGCTGCCAAAGCCCCAGGACGCCTGAAGGGCGGGGCAGGAGGCGGACAGGCGCTGGGTCAAGGGCTGTGGCGGCGCCTCACCTGGCCGGCCACGTGGGCACAGGTATGCGGCGGCTCCGCCCGGGGCCCAGCCCGGCCCCTCCCCGGGCCTGGGCGCTGGGAGCGGAAATTCCTGTGCGGGCGGCCGGAGCTGGGCCATGGAGCCGGTGGAGACCTGGACCCCCGGGAAGGTGGCAGCCTGGCTGAGAGGTGGGTGGGGCCGGGTCAGAGTCGGGCTGGAGGGGGGCTAGGTGTGCTGGGTGTCCCGCCGGCCGAGGGACGGGGGAGGAAAAGGAAGAGGGACCTGCCAGTCCATCAGTGGCTTAGTCAGTCGACAAGTATTTATAGAGCGTCCGTCATGTGGCAGGCACTGTGCTGGGCGGAGGGATGGACGGGGTGACTCCGGAAGGCCGAGGACCCACAGAGGGTCCCCCATGGCCGCAGCATCCCAAGAGGCCGCCGGGGTGGCCTGGGGAGCCCCGCCGCCCAGGCCCGCGTTGTCTCCCGGGTCTCCTCTGCGCCTCAGGGCCCCGTGGGCTGTTACTAAACCCATCTCCAGAAGCAGAAACCGACACACACAGCCAGGAAGGGATTTGCTCAGTCTTGGACTGGGGCTGGCCCCGGGGTCATCTCCCCCTCCTCCCACCCTGAGGCTCCCCGGGCCAAGGGCTGACGCAGCCCCACCCTGCGGCTCCCATCCACGGGGGAGATGCTCTCCCGCCCAGTGAGTCCAGGCAGATGGGAAACGACCCAAACTGCAGACAGACTCAGAGAAGTGAGGGACTTGTGACTGTGCCCCTGGGGCAGGGAGGGGAGTCAGGACGACCCTCCCAGAGTGGGGACCTGGAGGGCACTGGGGGCAGGCTCAGGGTGGCCAGCCCTATTAAGGGCAGGGACTCAGGGCTGGAGTCAGACTCCCAGACTGGGTTCCAGGCCTGGCTTCACCACTCACCAGCTCCGTGACCACAGGTCTCAGTTTCTGTGACCGTGGGATGGGCAAGGCAACCCTGACCTTCTGAAGTGGACGTAAGGAGACAAGCATGGCCAGGTCAATGTCAGGGTCTGCTGGGAGGGAGGCAGCCCAACACATTGACGGTACTGGGAAAGGAAGTCACTCAAGGGCCAGTAGCCAGGGAGTAACAGGTTCATGAGCTCCCAGTTTAGTGCTGTTAATGTCACACAGGGAGTGAGGGAGAGCTACTGAGCACACATTCCCCAGTGAAGAAGCCTGGCTCAGGACGGGAGGAATTCCTTCAGAGTGAACAATGCTTAACCTCCGTGTGTCAGTTTTTCCATCTGTAATTTGGGGATAACATAGTCCCTACTTCCTAGACATGCAGTGAGGGTCAAATGTGTTAATATGTGTAAAACCATTAAAGCTTTGCCTAGCACATAGTAAGTGCTCAATAGATATTTCTCTTTTTTTTCCGGCAGCTGGCCAGTAAGGAGATTTGAACCCTTGACCTTGGTGTTAACAGCACCACAATCTAACCCACTGAGCTAACCGGCCAGCCCTTGATAGATATTTCTCTTATTTTTGAGTCTCTACCTTGTGCCAGGCACAGGCTGGGGATTAGAGATAAATGGTTGTTTAAGGCCTGGTCTTTGAGAGCCTGTGATAAAGTGGGACCTATCGATGCTCAAGTGCAGGGGTTTGTAGAGGCTCGGGGGACAGTGGGAGCAAGAGGAGAGCCCACCCTCAACCCCGAATCTAACCTGGGGAGTTATGGAAGGCTTCCTGGAGAAGTGGGATGAAAAGGGCATGGAAGAGCAGTTTAGGCAGAAGAAATAGCACTCGAAGGACGCTGAGGCAGAAGAGCGTCCAGGAGCTGCGAGGAGTTAGTGCTCTGGATCTGAAGTGTGGAGCTTGACGTGCTGTGCCAGGACGTGAGGCTGGCCTGCTCGCACCGGGCCTTGTATATTCTGGTGAAGATCTGGCCATAATAATATGGCGGCTGTATTGACTGTCTACCATGAACCAGAGAATGGGCCAACTTCCTGACATATATTGTATCATTAAATACACACATGACTAAAAGGTAGTTGCTTTTATTATTCCCATTTTACAGGTAAGGAAACTGAGGCAAAGAGCAATGATATTACTTGCCAAGTGCTAGCACTCAGGTCTCCTAACTCCAAAACTCCTTGCTCTTATCCTCTATATACCTCGTTCTCAGACAAGGGAGCAACAAAATCACCCGCAGGATTTGTTAAAATACAAACTGCTGGCCCCACCCCTGAGTTTCTGATTGAGCAGGTGTGGGATAAGGCCTGAGAATTTCTGTTTCTAACAGGTTCCCCAGTGTGGCTGTGGCTGTGGCTGCTTCTCACCCTTTGAGAGCCACTGCCCTGTCCTGCCCCGCAGGATTTGTTAAAATACAAACTGCTGGCCCCACCCCTGAGTTTCTGATTGAGCAGGTGTGGGATAAGGCCTGAGAATTTCTAACAGGTTTCCCAGTGTGGCTGTGGCTGTGGCTGCTTCTCACCCTTTGAGAGCCACTGCCCTGTCCTGCCCTACTTCTCAACTCAGTGGTCTCATCTGTGAAATGGGCAGAACACAGCCTGGGGCTCAGGATTGTCATTAGGGACAGATTGGGGGGGGAGGGCCCTGCATGAGTGAAAAACTGGCCTGAAAGTTCGTGACACCTCTTTTTCCCCCTCATGCTCTCCCTCTAGGCCTTGATGACTCCTTGCAGGACTATCCCTTTGAGGATTGGGAGCTTCCTGGCAAGTACCTGCTCCAGCTCTGCCCCCGCAGCCTTGAGGCTCTGACCGTGTGGCCCCTGGGCCACCAGGAGCTCATCCTGGACGGGGTGGAACAGCTCCGGGCTCTGGTGAGTACATGCTACCACATTAGCTGCAGTGTCCACCAGCCGAGGATTGCAAATGGAATGCTGGCTGCTGCTGAGGAGGTGACCCACCCCCTTTCTGGCACAGAGCTCTGGACTGCAGACAGAGAACCTGCAGAGCCTGACAGAGGTGCTGCTGGAGAGGACCTATACCTTCCAGAGCTTAGTCCAAGGCCGTCTGGGGGACTGTGCCGAGACCCCCGTCGATGTCCTCAGTGCAGCTGTGGAAATGGTGCATGAGGCCCATGCCCTCCTCTGCTGGCTCAACAGGTACCCAGGTTGGGGTGACTGGTGAGATGACTCTTCTCATCTTTGGCCTCCTCCAGTGCCTGGGTGAGAAAAACAGAGCTTGGCTCTTGTTCAGATATGATGGAGCAGGGCAAAGAGGTTAGTCAGTCTGTGCAGGGGCACTGGGATGCCTGGGCTCCCACCCTGCCCCAGCGTGTAATCATAGCAGTCTTAACAACCATTGGATGGAGAGCTCCCCCACCCCTTCACTGGCTGCTGCTTGTCCCACAGGACCCACCTCAGTGACACCTCCTCAGGGAACCCTTCCTGTTACACACTCTCAGAGCTCCTACATTTTGCAACACTCATTACAGTTGAAGTTAAATCATTGATGTAATAAAGTGTTTAATGTCTGTCTCCCCAGTGCCTAGAACAGGGCCTGGCACTCGCAGGTGCATGACAAGTAAGTCCCATGCAGATGTCTCAATCATCTCCTTTACTCCAAACCAAAACCCAACAGAGCAGGTATTATCCCCAAGTCTCGGTGAATAATCAGCTCCAAGTGGTTCAGCACAGCCCCTTAACCACTGCGCCATCCTTCTCCTGCCAGGTACCTCTTCTCCCACTTACATGACTTCTCAGCCTGCCAGGAGATCGGGGAGTTGTGCAGGGAGCTGGGCCAGGCCTTGCAGGAGGTAGGAGAAAGCCAGGCTTGGCCCTTGCCCTAGAGACCAAAACAGGCTGGATCTTTTTATAACCTGTGAATCAGCCCAGGATCAGGTGTGAGGGCTGGGACAAGCAAGGACAGGAAGAGAGGAGGCCCGGCCACTGGGTATGGGGCAATGGGGTCTCCTAGCTGGCAGGGGAAGCTCAGGAAGTTTGAGATTCAGGAGGAGGTGGGAGGGAAAGGCATGTGTGGTGACTTCTGGGGGCCTGGTGTCAGGGCGATGAGACCCTAGAGTTGAAACTCTGAGCACTGTGGTTCAGGGCAGGGGGTCGGGGTACGGGAAGCAGGGGGTGCACTGCAGGGAATCTCAGCCTGCCTTCAGGAGAAGGCAGCCCCCTTACTACCCCGATTCACGAGAGGCCCTGCTCTCTCACTCTCTGCAGGACTGTCCAGTGGCCGAGAAGGAGAGCAAAATCCTAAGGATCGTGAGTCTGTGGGGGTGAGAGGGGGGTGGGGATGGGGAAGGCAGGGATGGAGCTCAGGCCAGACAACTGCTCCCCTCCCCCAGGGCAGTCATGTGGCTGGGATCTGCCACAACATCCTGAGCTGCAGCCCGGAGGAGCTGCTGGAGCAGAGGGCCGTGCTAGAGCAGGTGCAGCTGGACGACCCTTTGGTGAGCCCTGCCTTCTCCCTGCTCACCTCTCACCCCTTGGCAGCCTTGCCCTGGCCCTGAAATATGGTCTAGGATCCCACAGAATCCTATACTGCTATGGCTAAAAGCCTTTTACATGCAGATGTTAAAGTGGAAGCCCAGAGGACTTAGCTGGGGTCTCACCATCATCCAGCATTTATCCCGATCCTGAGGGCTACACCAGGTCTCAAGTGGCACATTCCAGCCCTGGGACACAGACATGGCAGGGGCCCAGGGGCAGGTTAGGAGAAAGGGAGAGGACGTGAACTTTTCTGCTTTAAACTTTGTTAGGAAAACCAGAGCCCCAGCCCTGTCCCTGTCCTGCCCCCGTCCCTGCATATCCCTTTAGGAAAGTTACTGAGAATCTGGTACCTCTGAATCAGTGGCCTCAGCTTCCCTCTGGCCCTTATCAGAGGAGGAGGCAGAGGCCCAGAGAGGGCAGCAAGCCCAAAATCACACAGTGAGTTGGGGCAGTGACAACTTGGGGCCAGCTCTTTTCCCAGCTCTCACCTTAGAGTCCTGGCACCCAGTGTAAGTCCTGCCTGCTGGCCCTGCTGCCCCCAAGCCCTTGGTGACTGCAGCCTCTGCCTCTGCAGGGCCTGGAAATCCACACCACCAGCAACTGCTTGCATTTCGTGTCCCGAGTGGGCACTCAGGTGAGAGCCCCATACCCTCCTCAGCTGCCCACCTGTGAGGCCCTCTCCCCTGCCAGCCGAGCCAGCTTCAGGCTGCCTTCCCCATACCAGGTCCCCACCAACTCCCGACTGTGGATCCTGCCTGGAGACGAGGTTGTCCAGATCAACGAGCAGGTGGTGGTGAGTGGGGAGGAAAAAGACAGGGTGGGAGGTGAGGTGGGTGCTGAGTGGAACCCAGGGCTGCTGGGTGGGGGAAGGCAGCCTCCTCCCCTTGGGGAGAGCAGGGTTGTAGGAGCTGCCTTCAGTGAGATGGGCCAGCTGAGGTGGGCTAGAGCAGCCTCCACCCATCAAATCCTGGGTGAAGGGGCTCGGGGGGCTCCCTGGAGGAGGCATGTGGTGAGGAAGAAGCAAGAGGCTCGAGAGAGTTCTGAGGGTGAGGGTGAGGGGTTGTAGGCTGGCTTCAGAGCCTCCTGCCCAGCTCAGTGCCAGCCAGTGTCTCTGTTCTGCATCCACCCCTCCCCCAGGTGGGCTGGCCCCATAAGAACGTGGTGAGGGAGCTGCTGAGGGGTCCAGCTGGTGTCAGCTTAGTGCTGAAGAAGGTCCCAGTGCCGGACACCCCCCCACAGGTATCTGCCCCGCACCCCCAGCCTCCCCTGCTCTCAGGCCCTGTTGTCAGCCCGGTCACCCTGTTTCCCGTTATTCCCCAGACACCCCCTCGGGCCCTGGCCTCCCCACACCTGAGGAGCCAGTCGCTGTCTCTGGCCCCACTGTCTCCCAGGTAACAGGCTCTGCCCTGGGTGTGTCTTGGTGGGGGGACCGTGGGCACCTCTCACCTCCCTTTGCTCTCCCCAGAGCTTCATCCAAAGACGTCTTTGCCTTCGACCTGACTTCAAACCCAAGTCCTGAGCCCAGCCTTACCTGGACAGGTAGTTTCAAAACCACCAGGTGGCAGATGCCCCTGGCAAGGCATCTGGCTGCCTGGTTCTGACCCCTCGATGCTGACACCCCACCCCCACCCCCTTACCTCCCGTGCAGGCTGAGACTGGGCTCATGGGCCTTCCCTCTCTCCTCCTCCCCGACAGACTCTATCTCCTGTGACACCGAGTCCCTGCCCGTCCCCCCTGCACCCCCAGCCACACTCCCAGCAGGAGTAGCAGAGGATCTGGGGTCCCCAGGACGCCCTGACAAGGTAAGCTTAGGGGCTCAGCAAGTTGGGGTGTGGGCTCTGGACCCGAACCTTCTCTAACCCCTTTATTGTCCTTTCAGAGTCCTGTCTTTGATCAGAAGAAATCAAAAGGTAAGAGGTGCATCTGATTAGGTGGGGTCCCCCTATGTGAGGAGCCCTTAGAAATCTTTCCAGGGCTGGGCAAGACCACCCCCTCCACTTCCCACACAGCCTGCCCCGGAAACCGCTGTTTCTGGGGTCAGACACACCTGTGCTCCCAGTCCGGGCCACTCACCAGCTCTGTGACTTTGAGCAAACAGCTTATCCTCTGGTCTTCAGTTTCCTCATCTCTAAAACGGGAAGAGTCATTCCCACCTCAGACATGACACATGTAACATTCCAAGCACAGCATGTGGGTTCAGACATCTCAGTTGGGGATGCTCGTCGGGGGTAAGGGAGCAGGTGTGGGGACCAGGACGCCTGGCCAGCCCCTCGGTGACCAAGCCGTGCTGTGCGGCTGCAGGCGTGGCGACACGGCTGAGCCGCCGGCAGGTGTCGTGCCGGGAGCTGGGCCGGCCGGACTGCAGTGGCTGGCTCCTGCTGCGCAAGTCCCCTGGTGGCTTCATGGGCCCACGCTGGCGCCGCTGCTGGTTTGTGCTCAAAGGACACACGCTGTACTGGTACTGCCAGCCCCAGGTGAGACCCCGTACACACACACACAGGCAAGCAAGCGAGTCACCTCAGTGCCATGATTTTTGTCTCTATTCCACCATCCACTCCCATCTGTGGTCACAGGCAGGCCCCAGACTTTCCTGGGCCCCAGTGTTCCCATCTGTAAATGGGGACACTCTTCAGAGAGAAATGAGTTAATATGTGTGTAAAAGCAGTTTGGAGAAAGTATGCAGGAGGTGTAGAGAAAAATCACTTCTATGCTGCCCACCTCTCTTTCCTCTTCTGATATTCTGTCCATCCAACTGGTGGGCTGTTCATTCAGTCGTTTATTCATTCAACAAACATTCAGGTGCCTTCTGTGTACCCAGCTCTGGGCTGGGCACTGGGTACCCAGGGAAGAATTGAATAGTTTCTGTTTCTCGAGAACTTACAGGCTGGTAGGGGAGAAGATTGAACACATACTCAGCGACAATGTGGGGAACATGTGCTAAGATGAAGGAAGAGCCCAGGGCACATGTGGGAGCTCAGCAGAGGTGTCTGGTTCAGCCTGAGGAGTCTGGAAACTTCTTGAGAAAGAAATACTTGGGGGTTAGTCAGATGGAAAGGGGAAAGAAAGCCAGGAATGGAAAACAGCCTTTGCAAAGCTCGGTGGTATGAAGTGGCTTCATTTGTGTCTACTGGAGGAACCGGTGCACGGGCACAGCCCCCTTTTCTGACTCTTCCTCTGGATATCTGCGGCCACCCTTTCCTTGCTCAGAGGCACCTCTTGGCCACACTTCCTGCCCCACCACAGATTCCTGCCCTGAGCCCCAGAAACAGAGAGACTTGTGGTTGGAGAGCCTAGGAGACACCCTCTCCCCTCCACTGCCATCAGGAACCTGAGGGATAACTAGGAGCTGACTGGGCCTCCAGGGTATCAGGGTTCCAAGCTGACCCTCACGCTGTGTTTCCCACAGGATGAGAAGGCCGAGGGCCTCATCAATGTCTCCAACTATAGTCTGGAAAGTGGACATGATCAGAAGAAAAAATAGTTAAGTCCTGGGGGATTGTGGAGTGGGGATGGGGAGAGAGAGGGAGAGGAGGGTGACGGAGTCGGGGTGGGAGGTATGGCAGGTGTCTGGGATTCCCAGTCCAGCCTCCCTGGGTTCTGGATGGGCATGTCCAGGCTGAGTGAGGCCCCTCCACCCCCGCAGCGTGTTCCAGCTCACCCATGAGGTGTACAAGCCCTTCATCTTCGCCGCTGATTCCCTGACAGATCTGAGCATGTGAGTGCCACCCTCCCCACCCCTACTCCCACATGACTCCTGACCTCCCAGCCTCTGATAGCAGTTGGTCAAAACACTTGCTTCTCTAAGCCTCAGTTTCACCATCTGTAAAATGGGCAAAGAAGAGGTCCTACCTCTCAGAGTTGCTCTGAGAATTACATTAGAAGATGATGTGGGTGAAAAGCCCCCAGCATACAGTACGGCTTCATGAATGGAAATACCTTGAGACCCATTTGCTCCTCCATAGGTGGGTGCGCCATCTCATTACCTGCATTTCCAAGTACCAGTCCCCAGGCCGGGCCCCCCCACCCCGAGAGGAAGGTGGGTGTCTCACAGGGTAGGTGGGAGGAACCTGGAGAAGCCTCTGCCTTTCCTGGGATGGGGGGCTGGGAACTCACATGCCCTAGCCCACTCCCTGGCCACCCAAAACCCTATGGGTTTCCCAACTGCTGCTCCCTACCCCAGACTGCTACAGCGAGACGGAAGCAGAAGACCCTGACGATGAGGCTGGGTCCCGCTCTGCCTCGGTGAGTAAGAGGCCACTGCAGGGTAGAGGTGGGAGTTAAACAGCAGGGTGTGGAGCTCACACTGAAATCCTCCTCTCCTTCCGCCCTGCCTGCAGCCCAGCCCAGCTCAAGCTTCGAGTCCGCTCCATGGAGACACATCACCTGCAGCCACCCCCACGCAGCGCAGCCCACGGACCTCCTTCGGCTCTCTCACGGGTGCTGTGCTGGAGCTGGGAGCTGGGCTGGTGGCTGGGGGCTAGAGTGGGCACATCTTCATCCAGCTCCCCCCTTCCACAGATAGTGGCGAAGGGGCACTGGAAGGAATGGTCCAAGGGCTGAGGCAGGGGGGGCTCTCCCCCCCTGGCCACCCACAACCCCCCAACCCCCCAACGCCGCGGGAGGC